CACACTCACATACACATACACACACACTCTCTCATTTACACAAACACGCGCACACATACACACACTCTCACTTACACAAACACACTTTCTCTCACACACACACACACACACACTCTCACTTACACAAACACACTCACATACACACACACACTCTCACTTACACAAACACACTCTCTCACACACACTCTCACTCACACACAAACGTGAATCAATGAGGTGAATTTATATCTGCAGATACCTGTTATTTTGTTCAAAAAGCACACAATTTATAGACAGTCAATCATTATGGGTTTTATAAATTCGTACTTCAGAAATAAGACCAGTCTGACTCCAAACCAAAACACAGACAGATTCTAAACAAGGCCTCGCACCCAAAATGCATTGTCTGACCTAAAATGTTACTTCTTCTTTACACTGATAAAACCTTTAGTTCTTTCAGGACCATGACTTGAAAGGAATTTGGGGATTTACATAAACATATTAATCAATTAAAACCTACTAACTGATTAAAGATGTAACAGTATCTTAGGTTTGTTTAGTACATCCTCATCAATGGTGTGACCCTTTGATCTTTTACTTATAAATTCTGTGTCTGATACACCCTTTCTCAGTAACACCTGAAGAAGGAATAAGACTCTGAAAGTTTGTGTTTTCAAATAAACCTGTTGGACTATAATCTGGTGTCGTGTGATTTCTGACCTTGTCCACCCCAATCCAACACCAGCAACCTCCACATCTTAAAAATATTCAAGGACTCTGCCTTTTCAGAGAGAGAGTTCAAAATATTCATGACCCTCTGAGAGAAACAGCTTCTCCTCTCCTCTGTTATAATGGGTGACCCCTGATTTCTAAACAGTGACCCCTAATTCTAGATTGACCCACAAGCGGAAACATCCTCTCCATGTTTACCCGGTCAAGCTCTCTCAGGATCTTATCTGTTTTAGTCAAGTCATTTTCCTCAAAAGGCAATCCACCCATTTCTGGTAAACCTTCTCTGGGCAGTATTTACATCTTTCCTTAAATAAGGTGACAAACATCATGCACAGTACTCCACACTTACTGCAGGAAGGCAATGCAATATTATCATTTATTTCAAGAGGGCTAGATGTAAAGAGGGTTATCAAAAAGGCTGTGTAAGGCTCTGGTCTGACCGCATTTAGAATATTATGAGCAGTTTTGGGCCCTGTATCTAGGAAAGGATGTCCTGGTGTTGCAGGGGGTCCAGACAAGAATGATCCTGGGGATAAAGGGCTTGTCACATGAGGAGCAGCTGAGGTCTCTGTGTCTGTATTCGATGAAGGACGAGGGGGAATCTGATTGAAACTTATAGAACACTGAAAGGCCTGGATAGAGTGGATGTGGAGAAGATATTTCCACTAGTAGGAAAGACGAGGGCCTGAGGGCACAGCCTCAGAGTGAAGGCATGACTCTTTGGAACTGAGATGAGGAGGGATTTCTTCAGCCAGAGGGTGGTGACTCTGTGGAACTCATTGCTGCAGAGGTCTGTGAAGGCCAAGTCATTGAGTGTCTTTAAGACAGGAATAGGTTTCTTGATGAGTAAAGGGATGAAGGGAAATGAGAAGAAGGCAGGAGAATGAGGTTGAGAAACATAGCAGACAGGATCAAATGGTGGAGCAGAGTTGATAGGTTGAATGGTCTTATTCTGCTCCTATACCTTCTGGTCTTATGATCCAGGGACTCGCCAGCCCTCAGCTCCAACTGTTTACTCAGTCCCACTTCTTTCATGATTACAATGTCCCTGATGTCTTCCCTCTCTTCCATTTCCTGATTTGGAACTATTTCTGGGATATTGATGTTACTGATATTGAAAACAAGGTTAAACAGGCTGAATGGCCTCCTCCTGTACCTATTTCTTATACAGCATAACATCATACAGCACAGAAACAGACCCTTCAGCCCAACTCATCCATACTGACCAGGTTTCCTGAACTGAACTAGTCCTGTTTGCCTGCATTCAGCCCATATCCCTCTAAACATTTCCTATCCATGTACCTGTCCAAATGTCTTTTAAATGTTGTACCTGCCTCTACCACTTCCTCTGGCAGTTCATTCCACACATGAACCACTCTCTGTGTGAAAAAGTTGCCCCTCAGGTCCATTTCCCCTCTCACTTTAAACCTATGCCTTCAAGTTTTGGATTCCCTTACCCTGGGGAAAACACCTTGACTTTATCTTATCTATGCCCCTTGTGATTTTATTAACCTCGATAAGGTTACCTGTCAGCTGCTTACGTTCCAGTGAAAGAGGTCCCAGCCTATCCAGTCTCTCCTTTGAACTCAAACCCTTCATCTCGTTCACATCCTTGGAAATCTTTTCTGTACCTTTTCCAGTTTAAGAACATCCTTCCTACAGCAGGGTGACAAAAATTACACAAATTCTCCAAAATTGGCTTCACCAATGTCTTGAATAGCTCATAGAGTCATACAGCACGGAAGCAGACCCTTCAGTCCACCTCGTCCACACTGACCACACATCCCAATCTGACCTAGTCCCATTTGTCAGCATTTGGCCCATATCCCTCTAGACCCTTCCTATTCATGTACCCATCCAGATGCCTTTTAAATGTTGTAATTGTACCAGCCTCCACCACTTCCTCTGCATCTCATTCCATACACGGACCACACTTTGTGTGAATTAGTTACTCCTCATGACCTTTCCCCTCTCACTTTTAACCTATGCCCTCTAGTTTTGGACTCTCCCAACCTAGGAAAAGATCTTGGCTATTCACCCTATTCATGCCCCTCATGATTTTATAAACCTCTTTAAGGTCACCCCTCAGCCTTTGCTCCGGGGAAAACAGCCCAAGTTTATTCAGCCTCTCCCGATAGTTCAAATCCTCCAATCCCAGCAGCATCCTTGTAAATCTTTTCTGAACCCTTTCAAGTTTAACAACAACTTTCCTGTAGAACGGTGACCAGAATTGTACACTGTATTCTAAAAGTGGCCTCTCCAATATCCTGTACAGCTGCAACATAACATCCTAATCAATGCTCTGATTGATGAAGGCAAGCATACCAAATGCCTTCTGCACCACCCTGTCTACCTGCGACTCCACTTTCAGGGAACTATGTACCTGCACCCCTAAGTCTCTGCTTGACAACACTCCCATTAACTATATAAGTCCTAGATAGTAGGAACTGCAGATGCTGGAGAATCTGAGACAACAAGGTGTAGAGCTGGATGAACACAGCAGGCCAAGCAGCATCATAGGAGCAGAAAGGCTGACATTTCGGGCCTAGACCCTTCATCAGAAGTCAGCCTTCCTGCTCCTATGATGCTGCTTGGCCTGCTGTGTTCATCCAGCTCTGCACCTTGTTGTCTCAACTATATAAGTCCTGTCCAGATTTACCTTACCAAAAATGCACCACCACACATTTATCTAAATTAAGCTCCATCTGCCACTCATTAGCCCATTGACCCATCTGATCAAGGTCCTGTTGTACTCTGTGATAACCTTCTTCACTGTCGACTACGCCACCAATTTTGGTGTCATTTGCAAACTTACCAACCATACCTCATATATTCACAACCAAATCATTGATATAGATGTTGAAAAGCAGTAGACCCAGCACTGATTATTGTGCTGTTTTGATGTGGAAGTGCCGGTATTGGACTGGGGCGGACAAGATCAGAAATCACAGGTCACCAAGTTATAGTGCAACAGGGTTTATTTGAAATCACACGCTTTCGGTGTATAGCCCCTTCGTCAGGAGAAGTGAGCTTTAGTTAAACAATGACAAGAACGGGGATTTTATATTTGGCGATTGGGAGCGGAGTAAGTTGCTGAAGATCAGGTAATGGGACAGAGGGCGTTTCAGGAAGTAGAATTTTCGATAAATTGAAGTCTATGCAAGTTAGAAGTCGAGGAGCTTTGGAAATGTAGAATGATATTTTCAGGAATAGAGAGGCCAGGTTAGAGATAGGAAGGCATTTATTTAATGGACCACTTCGATCTAGATTCCTGCAACTGTTTGCTGAGAGCTGTTATCTATAGATCCCTTTCAAGAGGTAGAAAATGTATTCACACAAAGACCTCACTTGAAGGTAAATATTAATGATGCAGAGGCTTCACAAACACACATGCACGTAGAAGGGTGTGTTATGAAACAGGTGTTGTTGTATAGCCATAGGGTCCGGCTTTGTAATCAGCTCCTTTCTCTAATTAGTTTAAATCCCTTCCTACTCTCTCTCCCGCTCAGTGTGGCGGATTTATTTGATATTTTGCCGCAATGAAAGTAATTTCTCTGGGGACAGAATCTAGCTTCTCCCTGGGAACCATCTGCTTCCTCTGAGGAGGGAGGGGACGGTGGGTAGGTGCACGACAGAGACGGGTGGGGGACGAGGAGAGAGGGTGGTAGGGACAGGAGGTGCAGGGAGTGGGAGGAGATGGGGTAGGGAGAGCTAAGAGGCAGGGGAAGGGGAAAGTGAGAGAGGGGATAGGGAAAGGGGGGGTTTGGAGCAAGGGGAAGGGAGAGAGGGGTTGGGGAGAAGGTGAAATAGAAGGGCAGAGAGGTCTGAGAGTAAGGGGGTCGGGGCTACTATTATATATGGTCCTGTGGCAATATATGGATCTATACAGTAAGCTATAGGGTGAAGCCGCTTCTTTGAATCTCTCCTCCCGCCCAGCTCCGCGCCAAAGGAACCCGGAAGTAAGCGGCTACTGGAAGCCCATTGGTCAACGGCCCGGAATGTATCCACTGTCTCCCATGCCCATTGGCTGCTCGCTGTCTGACGTCTCTTGGAATGTCTCCGCGCGCCAGAAACTGAGAGCCCGGCGCCTCCGGAGCCCAGAGCCATAGGGACAGGGACAGGGACAGGGACAGGGAGAGAGAGAGAGAGAGAGAGAGAGA